TAATACTACGTATATAATTACATCTTTACACACCCATAATATAAATTAATCTTCTTTTTATTTGTACTTGTACATATATATTAACATAAATTTAATCAAACAATATTAATTTTGTGATTTTCTATTTGTGAAATATGAGACTAAACTGTAGTGCAAGTTTGCCCCCACTCGCCAAATTTTCTGGATACGCCACTGTACACAAACACATCTGATGGACGGTTTTCGCCTCCCAGAACATCACGTTTCTCACCTCCGAGGAGGTAAAACTTGGAGCCTCATTGAGCACATACCATGCCCGGTCGGTTTAGGAGAGGAAGTCGCATAAGTAAGCGTGGAGATCCAACCACCAAACCTTGTTCATCGGACGCAGAAATATCAATGGCATGGATAGAGTAACCTTCATAGTGACGTCCATTGTTTCTGTATGACAAGAACACATATACAGTGCTGGTGGTATATTCTTGGTGTGGATCATGCAACCCTACCATGACTGCCAAGATTCACATTTTAAGGTTATGAAATTAAAAATTCAAAGGTCTGGATGCTGTGTTTATTGAATTTAGAAGAGAAAATTAATTCGCAATAATAAGCACACCTCTAATTTAGTTGGGAAGAATAATAAGCGCTAACCCCATTGGTGTGAAAATCGAGGGGGTGGTTTTCCATGGGAGGGAGGGGCAAGGCGTAAGCCCTAATTCCATGACAATTTTAAGAAAGTCACGGAAATATAACAAATGCAAAATAGATAAGAAGTCGTATCATAATTAATGATGTCTGAAGCGTATATAGTACATCTGGCTGTATGGTGAGAACCGTACAGCCGGTGATATTTTTGTAATTTACATAAAATTTGCGTCTGCATTGTGATCTCTGCTTCATCTCTTCGAATTTACGTTCTTTTCCTTATTTTTTTCTTTAAAAAAACTTATTAAATTATATGTATAATCAACTCTTATGAACTTCAATATGCGAATTTAATGCAATGTGATACTTTTGCAATATGCATTGCTATGTTATTTTACAAATGAGCATAACATGAATACCCGTTAAGCATACATAACTTATAAAATGAGAATTAATTTGAAAATCCTAAGTACTTTTAATTGAATACCAAGACATTTTCATTGAGCATCAACTTTATATTATAAGCACCAGTGATTTTCATTATGCGATTGTGATGAACATCGAGTTTGTTCTATTGAGTATTTGAATTCTAACAATGAGCACCAGTGATTTCTGATTCATATCTTCTAATTCAAATTTTATTTTCTTTTTTCATTTATAACAAATTCTTAAATTATGTTTATAATTAATTTCAATTAATTTCAATATGTGAATCTTATGTAGTATGATGCGTTTGAAATGTGAAACATTTTAAATTAAGCATAGAGCAGTCAGCAATACCAAATGAGCATACACGACTTACAAAATGAGTATAAAAAATTCGAAAGCTCATTTGTGTATATTCATTTATTTTGAACGTTATACTCATTTGAGTTTAACATAAAACTCATTTCTTAAAGCACATTTGTGCAACCTTTTAAAATGAGCATAAAGTGATTCTAAATGAGCATACATAACTTACAAAATGAGTATCGAAAAATTCAAAAGCTGCGCTCATTTATGTATGCTCATTCATTTTGGGCGCGACACTCATTTGAGTTTAACATAAAAACTCATTTCTTATGTGTTCAATATCCATTGTGTATATTCATTCCTTTTAGACATTATACTCATTTGACTTTAATATTAAACTCATTTCAATACAATATGACAGATCCACAAAAGCTTTGAACTCCTTTCCCTTCTTCTTTCTATAAGCCATCGCATAAACAGAAACATAGGTGGAAGAATCTGAATCTCAGGTCAAAAGGGAAGCCAATCGATCAGAGTATGTGTATCTGCGCCAATCGATCGGAGTATGTGGCGGCTTGGTCTACTTCGCGAGTTGGAGACATGGACAACCGATGTTCGTCTTCTTCGATGTCCTTCTTCATCCTCGCAGATGAGTTGCAGCGCAGATTATTTACAAAAAGACCCGGTTGTACCGTGCGCACGGTACAACCGACTGTACGATGGATTTTGGGAATGATGTCAATATCACTAAATTTAAAATTGGGAGAACTATCAAATAAGCCCTCAAACTTACATAAAATGTGCAAATCACCCCTTATATATGAGGCTCTGTCCGGCCGTCCCCATTTGAGGCGGTTCCCGGTGGAATTTTTTGATGAATTTTTTTGAACATCTTATTCATTAAGTCTAGTTTAGTCACACCAAATTTCAGCTAAAAAATCAATCGGTATGGCAGTCAAATGAATTTTGTAGATAACTGCGCAGTTAAACAGCGCAGTATATTTCAGAAAATCATTTGATTGCCTTCCCGGTGGAATTTTTAGGTGAAATTTGGTATGAGTATACTAGACTTAATAAATAAGATGTTCAAAGAATTTCATCAAAAAATTACATCGGAAACCGCCCCAAATGGCGACGGCTGGACAGAGCCTCCTATATAAGGGGTGATTTGAACTTTTTATGTAAGTTCGATGGCTTATTTGATAGTTCTTCGAATAAACTCAATTCATTAGGACCATTGAACTTGTTAGAACGCCTTATTCACTTGGACTTCGATCTTATATAGTGTGAAACAATATGAAATTAGACCGACTTAAAGTACTCTTAAATAATGGGACTAAACAAACAATGCCAATTTAAATGTTATTCATAAAAGTGTAAGAAAGTATAGTGTAAGAGTCACTGTGAACTACAAAATTTAAGAATATGTTGAAGGCCAACATAATTGTTAATGGAGAAGCCTTTTTATCTTTTCATACAGGCCGGGTTGAGATACAAATACTAAATTTTTTAAAAGTAGGGTGCAAGGTCTAATCTGAACAATAAAATGAAGTGCAAACTCAAATTAACCCCAAATTTAACATTGTTCCTCCATTGTTGGGAGTTTCAAGAAAGTTGAGTTAGATGATCAAAGTGTGATTAATAAGAAGAGAGGTCTAAGCCCCCCCCCCCCCCAAAAAAAAAGAAGAAGAAGAAGAGAGGTCTAAGTATATCAACGAACGTATTGACACAAATTCAATTCCTACACTAGCTACAATACTCTCCAGTGATGAAACATTTCTAAGGTCATTCAAATTCTAACCTTTTCTGTTTCACGTCATTCAGATTATCCCCAGCTGAAGAGGAACTCTTTGACGGATTTACACATGTAAATAGAAGAAAAGGTAGAACATGAACTCAATAAACACATCAAATGAAGTTAAAGAAGATGTCCAACAATACTAGGAAGTGAGTTATACTTCTCATCCAATGATCATCAGGAGCCACTCCAAAAAGCCCCAAGACGAGACATACTTCTTTCTCTACCCAGTTGACATCAAGTTTGACTCCCCACATAATCTCACAGTAGCTCTACAACGTTATAAGCAGTCTCATCCGGAATTCCAGATGAAACATTTTACCGACCCTATCTTTAGAAGGCCATTAAGTTCCACAACACATACAACAGAATTGGAATTCCTTCAAGAAAATTCAAATGCTAATGTAATGTTTTGCCTTTGCTTTATTTATCGTGTACTTTTAAATTTCGGCGCATGTACTTTTAACTCTACTTTAATAAATTAGGGAGGTGTTCCCCGACACCCCACGTAGTCTGGTTTGATCCGAAAAAAAAAAAAAACGAACTTACCGGACAAATTGGCATATATTAATACAAACGATTAGCTTAATAATACACGTTTCCTTTACATTTGTCTCCGTAAATCCATATACATTCATAATACACATCTTCCTTACATTTCTATCCGCAATTTCATATTCATAACACTTGAAAGAACTTAATGTTGGGTTTTTGAAGCTCCCTGCGAGATTACCCTCATTCCTCAACAACCATAATTATTATTCCTTAAAATCACTACTATTATCAATTTATCATTAATTTCATTTACTACATATAGGCTTGGACCCGGTTCGGGCCACCCGGCCCGGAAACCAGACCGGACCGGCACTGTTTGGGCCCGGCCCGGACTGGGAAACCGGGTACTGGTTCCGGGTCATGACCCGGTTTTTGGGGTATCCGGGTGCGGGTGCGGGTACGAGCTTAGGGAAAGGTGAACCAGCCCGGCCGGTTCGGGCCATTTAATTTTTTTTGTTTGGACTGGATTTAAATGGGCTGGGCTGGGTGTTTCCGATGGGTTTGGGGATGGGGGGTAGGGGATGAAATAAAAAAAACAAAAAAAATAGAACCGGACCCGGCCCAGAACCGGTGGTAACCCGGGCCGGTCCCGGGTCTTCACCCCAACCTTCAAAAGCCCGCCGGGCCTAGGCCCGACCCGGATCCGGCCCGGCCCAAGTCCAAGCCTAACTACATATGTTTCATGACAACCAAAAACTTGTAACACTACAATTCTAGGCAGACAGGTCCATATCAGACTGCATTCCAACCATTTTATGAACCAATTGTTTGCCGTTCAGTCGCAGTATTGTGCCCATATATCCTTCCTCATCACTAAACCTACTTCTTTTTCGTTCTGACTTGCTACATCCTTCACAGGAAAAATCCTATAGTGGTCTCTCACTCTCTCCCACGCAAAACAAGCCTTCAAAGCCGTGCAGCCATTGCTCATTTCTCCTGAATCAAGGGTTCATTAGTAGGGAAGTATATGTTTTTCAGAAGAAGCTCCACCTCAGTGTCTATGACAGAAACGACATTCCTGAATCAACATTAGAATCATAGTCACACTGCCAAGAACAAAGGTGGTTGAATTAACTACAAGAGACATGCAATTTATGAATTTAGGTCATTTGTCGTTATATTCTTTATGGCATGAATTAACTAATACGGAGTATGTGTATTGGAATATTATGAAATTTATGCAACTTTTTCTTTGTAATATGTCCAAATCTAGATGAACTTATGTCTCTGGATAAAGTTACCAATTTAAGCAAAGGCTGACAAAGAGAAAATTACTCCCAGCAAGACAATATTATCTAACAACGGCTACAGATATACTTTAACAGCAATATTACAAATGATTAACATAATAATGTACAGTTTTATTTTTGCTTATGAACAGGTAATGAATTTAAGTCTAATGTCTTTAAGGCAGTAAAAAGAAGTACAAGTGTTTAACTCATCATAATAGCCATGGAAGGATCCATAGATTGGATAGAGAGCAGCCAAAGAGGAGCACATAGCATAAGAAGCCAGCTGCAGACGCCATCTGATAATGGTGGCATGCTGTGATCTCACAGGTGGGGAACAGGAAATATGTTGTGCTGGCAGTTGCCGAGGATGCGGCGAGAGAAAGGAATGCAAATATCTGTTGTCATTATGGAAGAATATAGGAAATGACTTGAAACATAACCTTACCCAAAGAAAGTAATACTACCTCTATAGTAATACTACCTCCGTCCCATTTTATGTGTCTTACTTTGACTTAGCACGATTATTAATGAAGTGGTTGAAAAAGTAAAAGTTGTGGTTGGGGTTTGAGTATACTAAAGTGAAATGGTGTACCACATATTTCTTTCCAAAAAAGGAAAGTGGACACTTACTTTGGGACAACCCAAAAAGAAAAGTAGGACATGTAAAATGGGATGGAGGAAGTACATACAATAGCAACACATAAATAAACATGGGCTATACCCAATCCATTGAAATAATGGCAAGAGTGAACCAAGGTAGCCGAGTTTGATTTCTGGGGAAGAAGATAAAGTAGCAATCTGCAACTGCCAATGCCAAACTCCATGGTATCTGCAACCCCATTGCAATGGCCAAAAGCCTGCAAGCAATATGAATATCTATCATACATACATACATATAAGGAAGTCGAGCAAAAATAAACATCATCATCATCATTACCCAGTGCTTCAAAGGCTCCCACCTACGGTGGGGTAAGGGGGGGTCGGATGTACGCAGTCTTACCCCTATACTAAAGCACAGAGAGACTGTTTCCGAATGACCCATAGTGAAAATCGCGTCCAAAATGCATGGACTGACTGCAGCTTCATAACAAAGAAGCGCAAACAGTTTAGTGAGCCATTTTGCTTTATTTCATCATATTTTCAAGCCAAAAAATAGTGAGTCTTTGACTCCATTTTTGAGCAAAAATAAACATGAAGAACAATAATTGAACAGGAAGTAAATAGGTAATGATACATCATACATAATAATTAATCCAGGGTCTCCACATTTGAGATTCCCCATTGAATGCCTTGATTACAATTAGAAGATATTGTAAATGATCTTCTCATATCTCACCAACGTAACAGCACATAATAGCACATTAACTTATTAACAAAACATTTTTTCTCCTTGAAATATAGAATCTGAAGAACATTATTTAATTGGGTTGGGAGTTATGCCTTCACTGTGAAAAAAAATCTAGAAATACACCCCATGATCCCCCATCGCCTGCTTATTATCCTTCAACTTATTATTTTCTGTGAGCAAGCTGACATTTCATTCTATTTTCAGTTCAATAATATTATAAACGCCTGTTTCCCCACAACTAAATTAAGATCTGAACACCCCAAATTATATATATCACCCAAGATCAACAAGGGAAACCTCAACTTAGGTATAGCTAGTATAAACTAATCTTGATCATGCTTCATCAATAATTTCCTTGGCATCAGGATTTTCATGCATACTTGAAGTGAGACCAAACAGATCAGCAGAACGACCAAATGATTTAAGTTCCAGCCACATAATTGCAGAAGAACTCTTCTCAAATAAACTTTACATCCAAAAAGAAAAAACAGAACAACGTTCTCACACCTAGGGAAAATTAAAGTACCAGAAAGAGGTGTACTCATAGAAGTGAGAAGCATAGCAGATGAAGAGCAGAGAGACAACGGAGCAAGCGGTCAGAACCATTCTGGAAGCCAAACTCGCCTGAGTCCCCATTGCAGCACCGGCAGATACTCCGTCCATTTTCTACTTCCGCAACCACCACCGCCGCCGCTAGATTTGTCACCCAGCTGGCAGCTCTTATGAACCTTGTTGACACGTTGATACGCTTCTGCCAAGGGCGTGCCACGTTTCATATCCCGCAGCTTATAAACAAACACTCCGTAGACCGTAGAAATTTGAAGATAGTAATTATCCGTAGTAAGAAACGGATGTCAGTTTAATAATACTGCTAAAAGGTGATTATGAACGATGACGAAGAGAGCGGAACTCGGAAATGGAGGCTTTTTAACTCGTAGCGTAATCAAATGTGGGAAAACGTTTACCGGTCTCCGGCTCTCAGCCTTTTCCCCCTATTGTTTAGTGTTTAGCTCTACAATGAGATGACAATTGTGACCGAACAAATGGATACCTGCACTGAATCGCTGCGGTCAAAATGGGGAAAACCACATTGTCTGGGTAACGGGTACGGGGCGGGGAATACCCGTTTTGTTTTTACGGGTCATGGGACGGTAACAGTTTTATACATGTCCGCCCTGTTACCCACCCCATACCCGCCCTCCTAGTTATTTTCACTTTTATCTATTTGGTAGCTAACAAGTAAAATCGATTGGATTTGTTGTGCTAAACACTGATGTAGTGAGAACAGCCTCAGAATTTGTTTATCCAAAATTCATTTATGTGGATATGTTTATATATACTTTTGTTATTTAAAACGGATTTGGTGTTTCTATGAAATTGATGATGCGATGTTTGTATCTGGCTCGTGTGTCATCAGGCATCAGAGGCAATTGGACTTAGGTTAATCATTTTCGAATACACGTTCATTTGACATCAATTGCTTTAAAAATCAGAATTTGTTCAGTGGGATTTAATCTTTGTTTGGTGTCAAATGATGTACATGACTGATATACACAATGTCTAACACTGACTGTCTGAGTACAGAGATTTAATTAGAGCTCAAAGGATGATATTTGATTAATGTCACCACTGACATGTTACAGCTCACCCGATTTATGTTGGATTAAGATTTTGATTTTTTTTTTGGATTAAGGTTTTGATGTTGTTATTGTGTTTGAAATGTTATAAGATCATATATTATGGAAAAGTGCTAAAGGTATCCCAACTTGTACCTCATTTTGTACCCCCACCCTTATTTTGTGGTCACAATTGGAGCAATACTTTTAAGTGAGGCAACACTTTTAAGTGTGGCCTCATTTGGACCACACAATGTGTGGTGTAAAAATGGGGTACCCCAAAATGGGGTACCTCTAGCAAGGTTGTATATTATAAGCATTCCTCTTAGGATTTTCAATTTGTACAATCCTCTTGTAAGCATCATTATTGAGTTAAGAATTAGTAGCCAACTGCAATTTTTAGATGTTAAGAATTAGTAGCCAACTGCTATTTTTGGATGATGCGGTATTGTTATTTGGTCTAGAATCACCAAGTCATGTATTCTACAGAAATTGATATGTGGAGTTCTCTATTTTTAATGATTCATATATTTGTTTCAAACATTGAGAGTAGAAAAGCTTAATTATGCTTCTTCATTAGTTATTCACATATTGATTGAATTAATGTTCAATTTCATTGTTTTGTTTGTATTGTGTTACCTTTTAGTTTTGAATGTCTATTGTGCATTTGTTATTTATTTTAATATTTTAATTGGAATTTGTATCATAGTGATTGCATTCCCCATTGGAGGGGCACATACTAAAAAAGAAGTATAGGAACATGTAGGAATGAGAAGATTGACATGGGAAATAAAGATAGAAGAGACACATATGATAAACTGTGTGTTAAAGTGCAACATAAAAGAAAGGAATAAGCAGTGGGGAAAACCAAAACCGATAAATGTAATATATCTTTATATATATAAAGAGAACATGGTGGAGATCCAAATAGAAATCTATTTGGAGCCAAAAGAAGTGAAAAATTGTTGTCACTATTAATGAACCATTACTTAATCAAGTCATATTAAGTGCCAACCTATTTAATTTTTGTAAGTTATAAATAAAACTTTATAAAATTATTGTCACTTTAATGAAGCATTACTTAGTGATGCCATATTAAGTGCCAACCTAATTAATAGTTGTATGTTATAAATAAAACTTTGAAAATTATATTGAGCACAAATACATTAAATATTAAAAAAAATATTAGAAAAATATTAAAAGATACATTATACATTATACATTATTAATTAAGAGACATAATATAATAAAGTTAAAAATGAAATGTTCTAATTTCAGAATATAAAATAGAGTATTACAATATATTTGGATACAAATATTATGTAAATGACAATGATAATACTCAGTACCCCATTAAATGTGTTCAGAATTCACTTACATGTGGAATATAAATGAAGTAAAAATTACTTTGTATGTGATTCATATTTTTACAAATCATTTGAGAAAAATAATTTACCTACACATTTATTAGTTTAAATGGAAATGACAATTTTGGTTGGGGCAGCTGCAAAAATAAATGGAGATGAGGGAGTCATTGTTTTTTATAATTAGCTGCAACAAAAAATACAAAAATTCAATTATTTAATTCTACTATAACTATTCATTAGTAAATAAGTAACTATTTTAAAAATTCGTTGAAATCATAATTTTAAATAATCTTTCCCAATTTTGGAAGGATTTTTAGCATTTCCAATTTTGTGTACGAGTCAAATTGGTTCAATGATATTGGATTATACAATTTTACGATTCAACTCGCGATGTTAACAACATTGATATGTAGTTCTTATAAAACATATAGTGATTTTAACAATCTTGATCTGTAGCTTTTATAAAATATATATTGAGATGAATCAAGAGATATTATATATGGAGTATAAAATAAACATTTTCACTTTTTAGATGGAATATATTTAGAAACTTTAAAACACAACAAGCACAATATTAAAAAGTAATGTCATGTGTTGAATAATCATCATAATTATATTATAAATAAATAATGCTACATATGAGATTGTAATATGATAACAATTGTTATCATCTAAAAAAACAATTGTTATCATCTTCATTAGACAAGATTTGTTACGGATGAAAGGATACTTATTTTATAGTTTTATGCTAATTGGTGTATGTCCAACGGACTAACAATTATCATACATGTATTCTAATATAATTTTGTATCATGTTTTTATTTTTTTCTACAATAAATATGTATATACACATTACTCATGAAATAAATTCTTTGTAAAAAAATTGATTTCATTTGTTCCCCGTGCAACGCACGGGTGGATTGACTAGTTATAATAATAGAACTGAATTGTACATATTTTGTGTAATTTTTATATCTTGCTTTTGTTGCTCTTTTTTGCACCACATGTGTTGCTTTATGTTGCATTGTGTTGCATTTGGTTGTATTGTGTTGCATTTTGTTGTTTCGTTTTGTTTATTATTCTGTATTATTAAATTTGATACTCCGTATTTGTTTGCTATGTACATTTATATTTATTTTCATTAGATACTTGGAATGAGAAATCATATATTTTATATGCAAAAACACCTGAAATAATTAATTTGGATTTATGAAAAAACAAAAAGAAACATAAAGAAACAATAAAAAACAAAAATAATCAAGGTTATCAAGAAAGAGAAACAAAAAGAAACAAAATGCAACAAAACTAATAAATAAATGATAATAATCTAATAACAATACTTTATATGTTCTGCATTTTTATAATGTACATGCCTTTTAATTTATTATAGTTTTATAATTTTTAAAAATTCAATGAATCTTATTTTCTATTTTCTAAAAATAATTTAAAATTTTCTAAATGCTTTTAAACTCTATATATTAATTTGAGATTTTTATGTTTTAAATCTCAGAATTCTTATTCTTTAAAAAAATTAGAATTGTTTTTAGTTTTTTCGAATTTTATGCATTTTTATACTTCAATTTCAAATTTGTATTTTTGAGAGGATAAAATACCAGTTTACACTTTTTAGTTTTTATGAAGTTTTCTGATAATTCTTATATTTGATTTTTAATTTTCTTGCTACTTCATAATTTTACTTAATTTTTAATTTTTTTTTCTGAGTTTACTATATTTTACACACGTTTCAGATTACATTTGTTTTCTGGTTTTAAAAAAGTCATGAATCATATTTTCTGTTTTTCTTTTATTTTATAAATTTAATTTGAATTTTATGAGTATATTCAAATTTTATATACTGATTTATGTTTTAGATCTCTTTCCTTTCTTTATATTTCAATTTTTTGAAAAGTTACTCTTTCATTAAATTTAATTATTACTTCTCTTTTTTTTAATAATTTCAAAATATTTTGATCTTGTTTTACGTTTTTGAATAATTTTTAGGCTTTTAGGTTTTTTCAAATTTTCAATTTCAAAATTTTTAGCATTTTTGATAGTTTATATATATTAATTTAACTAATTAAAATATCATTGCAAAATCTTATTTTGTGATTTTCTATAAAAAAGTTCTACATTTTAAATATTTTAAAGTTTTTACGTTTGTATTTTTTATTCTTTTTTCATTTCTAATTTTTATATACAGTTTCTACATTTTATGATATTTAAAAAAATTAAATTCCTTTTTGTCAAAATTTACTTTATTTTTCAATTTTGCATTTTGATATTTTTTACTTTGACTTTCTTATTTAATTTAATTTTTTAGTTTTTTAGTATTTTCTTATAATTATCATCTTTATGAATTGTAAATGATTTTTTGTTTCCTATAAATTTTCAGATTTAAACGTATTGCCGACAACATCCCAAATTCCCAATTTTAAAACTTAAGCTTATAATTGTAGAATTTATTGATGATGAGCATGCCCTGGGACATAATGTCGTATTGGATACAGACTTGGGATGTAGCGTAGTCCGTACGTTTTAGTTGGAGCTTTGAGGTCTATTATTGAAATGCTAAACTTAGGAGTGTTTATTTTTGAAAAAGAAATTGGAGGGTGATAAAAGTGATATTATTTTTAATTTTTAGCATACTTGTGAAAAATTCCCTAATTCTAAATGCCCCAATCCACCCAACTCGAGGAGTCCACTCAGCCCAAATAAACTAAAATAAAATAACTCAACGCCTCCTTAAAAATTACTCTGTAAATTTTAGCT